CACACCTGGCCGGCCGCAGTTCCGTCCACTGTTTCACTCCCCTGTCGGCTGCGCCGCTGGCCGTGCCGGCCGGCTACGGCGACCCGACCATCCTCATCACCTCGGACCCCATCACCAAGGAGCAGCGCCGGTATCAGGAGCGCCATTGCCGGCCGGTGACCGCGCAGGCGCTCGGCCCGGCGCAGCTCGGCACGTCGGTCCTCCAGCGCGAGGCCGCGCTGCTGACGCGCGACGAGCGCCTCGAGCAGGAATGGGACGCCGCTGGGCTGACTTCCGGCCGGTCGAAGAAGGAGCACCTGCTCAAGAAGCGCGCCGCCGTGCGCGATCTCATCCAGCAGCAGGTGAAGACGGCCCTGGCCGACGCGGCGCACATTCGCTGCAGCCTGGAGCCCGCCACCGCGGCCGGTGCGTGGCTGCGCATCCCCCGCCGTGCTTGCCTTTGCCGGAGGGGCGCCCCTCCTCGGGCACTTTCCCCCTCATTCGCCTGCGGCATTTCCTTTCCCCGCGACACACGCCCACCTGTCGGCCCATCCGCCCGTGCTGACGCCCGTCCTCGCCGGCCTGCTCGCCCGCCACAGGCCGCTCATTGATCGGCTCTCGCTTCTCGTACCAGGCGCAGTTTATGAAGGAGGACAGCGACCCCATCACCCAAAACGAAACCGAGGAGGTGCGTCGGGCATCCTCGCCCCCCCCCCCCCCCCCCCCCCCCCTGTGCCGGGGCCCTCATCTGCTCGCATCTTTCCGCCTGTCCAGCGTTTGCTGTGCGGCCGGCCGGCAGCCCTCTGACCGCACGGTTCCCCCTCCCCCCCATGCCTGCCCTCCCTCTTCGAATGTGCAGGACCTGCAAAAGCGCCGCGAGGCCGAGCTCGAGGAGCTCCGCCAGCGCCTGGAGGGCCTGCTGTCCTCCATCTCCACCATGGAGACCACGGTGTCCGAGCAGTCGCTCGCCATCAAGGACGTGCGTGACACGGTTCCCCCCCGCCCCCTTGTTGCAGCCGCCCGGCCGGGGCCCCGGCTTGGCTCCCCGCATTGACCCCCCTCCTGACGTGCCCGGCACCGCAGTTCGAGAAGCAGATTGCCGACGCGACCACCGAAAACGAGAAGCTCGAGGCGGCGTACCTCCTGAAGAAGCGCACGTTCGATCTGCTGGCCGATCCGGAGGCCTCCATCGCCAACCTGGAGGCGCAGATCGCCGAGTCCGCTGCCCGGTACGGGGTCCTTGCCTTCTCCTGTGCTTGCCATGTGCCCGTGTCTTCCCTGGTCACTTACGGGGCCTTCCCTTACTTCGCGGTCCTCGCTGCCCCTTTGCCTGCCACCAGCATGGCCGACATGCGTCAGAAGTTCGAGGCCCGCCTTGCTACGCATATGCGCATCAACGAGAAGCTCCAGGCCGAGCGCGATGGTTTCATGGTATGTGTTGGGGCACCTCCACACGCATGTCCCGGTCCCCCTATTTGCCGGGCGTCTTCCCACGTTCCCCTTCTCTCTCTCTTTCTCTCTTCCTCTCTTCCTATCACCCCTCTTATCCCTCTTATCCTTTTTATCCTTTTTATCCCTCTTGTCCCTCTTGTCCCTCTTGTCCCTCTTGTCCCTCTTGTCCCTCTCACCCCTCTCGCCCCTCTCACCCCTCTCGCCCCTCTCACCCCTCTCGCCCCTCTCACCCCC